GAACTCCCTTTAGGATGTTTTGAAGTGCTGGGTTGGTTTTGACAAATTCCCTCAGATTCTGTTTATCGTGGAATGTTTGGATCTCACCATCGTATTTGATTGATAGTTTTGCTGGATAGATGATTCTTGGTTGACAGTTTTTTTTTTTTTTTTCTTGCAGGTTTTGTATATGTCTCCCTATTGCCTTCTTGCCTACATGGTTTGTTCTGAATAATCAGCACTGACTCTAATTTGTTTGCCTTTATAAGTTACGTTTCTCTTCTCCCTGGCTGCTTTTAGTATGCTTTCCTTGTCTTTGATTTTGGAAAGCTTGATTATTATATGTCTTGGAGACTTTCTTTTGGGATCTATCCTTCCTGGGGTACACTAGGTTTCTTGAATGTTTATCTTTTTGTCTTTCAGGATGTTAGGGAAGTTTTCTTCCAGAAACTCTTCAACTATTTCCTCTGTGGACTTCTTTGATTCTTCTTGTTCCGGGATGCCAATAATTCTTACACTGCTCCTCTTCATGTTATCCAGCATGAATCTTAGACTCTCTTCAGATTGTTTTATCCTTTTAGCTGTTTGCTGTTCTATCTTGGCAGTATTGTGGGGTTTATCTTCCAGTTTTCTAGTTCTGGGTTCCATCTCTTCTAGCCTGCTCCTTTCCCCTTTCAGGCTATTGTCTATTTCTGATAGCTTATTATTGATCACCTGAACATCTTTTTGCAGGTTTTGAATTGTTTCCAATGCTGTATCAATACTATTAGATTGTTCCTGCAGTACCTTCCTTACTTCTTCCTTATTTTCCTCGACACCTTTTCAGAGTATTTGAATTTGTTTCCATATCATTCTTCTGAATTCCCTCTCAGGCATATCCAGAACCTGCTCCTCCTCCTTTATAAAGCTTTAGTCTGTCTCCAGCTCATTTGCATCTGCTGTTCTCTTCTGCTTTTGGACATGTTTCGATAATGTGAATTGTTTCTTGTTGGGCATGATTATTCTCATTTTATTGTAATCATTATTCATATGATCAGAAGATAGGCGTCCCTTACTGTCTGTAATGTGTAGTAGGTGTGGTTAGGTCTTGTTTATGTAGTGGCTGCAATGGGCGTGACAGCGGTCGTTTGGTGTCTGCAGTTGTGGCACAGGGACAGGTAGGCTGGACAGGGCTGGGGGCGGTCGGAGGTGGGGCAGGTGTTGGGAGGTCAGGCTGGCAAGGTGGGGGTTGCGGGTGGGTGTCCGGCGAGCGAGCGGAGCTTTCACTTGTTACTGCAGGTGGGCGGGGTCAGCAAGGTACAGGCGCACTGCCGAAGGGGTAGGGCATGGTCCAGTGGGGGCCTGCAGGGTCCAGAGGTCGGGGTGAGGCTTGTGTAGTGTCTGGTGAGCGGGGTTGGGTTGCGCGCGATCAGGCAGGTGGGGTGGGGTTAGCGGTGGGTCCCGCGTGCAAGGCAGTGCTTGCGCGGTCTGGCAAGCAAGACTGGGGCACGGGTATTCTGGAGGTCAGGGTGGGGCTTGTGCATGGTGGGTCCTGCAAGCAAAGCAGTGCTCGCATGGGCAAGGCGGTGCTCGCGTGCATGGTCCAGCATGCAGGGCTGGGTTTGCAGGGGTTCTGTAGGTTGGGGCGGGGCTTGTGCCTTGTGTGGGGGCCTGGTGGGCGGGGCTGGGTCACGCGCTATCAGTCAGGTTGTGGGGGATTAGCAGTGGGTCCCGTTTGCAAGGCGGTACTCGCGTGTGGTCAGGCAAGCAAGGCGGGGCCCGCTGGGGTTTCTGGCGGGCTGGGTTAAGCTCTTGATTATTATGGCGGGTGGGCAGGGTCAGTGGGGTGTGACCCCATGGTCTGAGGGTTAGGCACGTTCTGGTGGGTGCTCGTGGTCCAGTGGGGTTGAGGTCAGGGATGGCAGGGGTGTGGGGATATAGTGGGTAATGCAGCAGGTGAGCACAGTTCAATTGGGTGGGGTAGCGGTCGCTCCGGCAGGCGGATGCAGTCTGTGTCTGATGACGTCACTCCTCTCTGTGTCTTGTGTTAACTGATTTTTTCTGCCCACTGCAAGCACTGAAATTTCACACTAGGGCAGAGGTCCCTCTCCTCCGCTTCCCCTTGTCTCCAGCTGCTCCTTCTGTTCAAGGCTCCCCTTTACTCGAAGCGCTATTCTCGGCATGAGTTGGTTCCAGCCTTGCCCCCCAAGCTCTACAGGAGCTGGGGCTCTTGATGCACGCAGTGGTGGGTGAAAGTTCAAAAAGTCAGTAATTCCTCAGTACCGTGATTTTTTTAAAAAAGCACTTTCAAGAGTTTGAAGTATTGAGACTTATGGTGGCTGTAAGGGTGTGGGTTTGCCACAGGAAGGTTTCCTTCATGAATTCCCTCTCCCCCAAACCTGGAGCTCCTCTCATCCATGCTGTCTGGCCGCTATTGCAAACGGGCAGTCTTAAATGAAGTTTTAACAAACTGTTTTGCAATTTAAAATTGATAAAATATGTGGTCAGGATTTGTGATAATTCTTTGTGATTACAGTTCAAAAGTTGGTAAGAAAGAATAACTGGAAAATACAATGTTTGCGAAAGGTTGGATACCAGATATTACATGTAGAATTTTGCATGATCAATGACATATTCATGGGAATATATATTTTTTTCTTCACATAAGAGAAGGAGTAAACTTCATTGTGTGTAATACACAGGAATGAAATAAACTGCAAAAGGCATTAAGACTTAGGAGTGTGGTGAACCCCATTTATTGTTCTAATCCAATATGTTTTTCATGAATTTCGACCCTGGGTGTTACCTACTGTACTTATAACACTGTGCTGACCTGCATCAGAGTTGTCTACAGTGATCATGTACTGAAGAAAAGAGTTTAACACATGCCTGGAACATCTGGTCCACATTTCCATCTATGTGAAAACAACCACAGCCTGTTGCCAACCCTCATTCTATGCAGAATCACCAAAAAGAGTACTAAGTTCCATTTAGAAATGATCAGCATGAGAGCTGAGAACTTGGCAATAAATTACTGTGTGAGACTAAGACAGGGAAGACAGTGTGAGCACAATGAGCTACCCTGCAAAGAGTTCTCTGGCCTGCAGAGGGCACTAAGAAACTATTGAAAATATGGAACAGATGTAGGGAGCTTGGTAGCAGTTTCCTGAAGGCTAGTGAGTATCCTCTTAGGGATAAGCAGGAAATATTATTTTTTGCACTAAACTTTTTAACCAAAACTGTTCTTCTGGTGCTTCCTACAAGTTCTCCAACCCTCATTAAGATTTAAATGAAAAAAAAAAAAAGACAATAACTAGACTTTATTGTATGTACTGCACAGGAATGAAGTAAACTTCACAAGGCATTACGACACATGAGTGGGGTGAGTCCATGTTGTTGTTCTTCCAATCAGAGATGTTTTTCATGAATTAGGGCCCTGAGTGATGCCTATTCTGAGTGATACACTATGCTGACCTACATCTGAGTGGTCTGCAGTGAGCACATACTGAAGAGAGGGGGTTCAACAAGTACCTGAAATAGCTGGTCCACATCTCCCTCCATGTGAAAACAACCACAGCCAATTGCCCACCCTCAACCAATGCAAAGCCACTAGAAAAAGCACTAACCTTCGCTTAGAAATGATCAGCATGAGAGCTGAGAACTCAGCAATAAATTACTGTGAGAGATCAAGACAGGGAAGACAGTATGAACCCAGGCAATGAGTGACCCTGCAAAGAGTTGTCTGGCCTTCAGGAGGCACAGAGAAACTACTAAAAACATGGAGCAGATGCAAAGAGTTTGACAGTGGTTTCCTGCAGGCTAGAGAATTTCCTCTTGGGGACAAGCAGGAAACATTCTTTTTTGCACTCTTATGATAAAAACTGTTCTACTGGTGTTTCCCACAAGTACTCCATCAGAAGTGAAAGAGAAAAGTAAACCTAAAACAGTAATAATAAGCTTTAAGTTTTCATGTCAACTTTAGATGACAAAAAGAGGAATCCCAAAGTATGTGGGAATATTTACTTTAATGAGAAGGCATGGGAAATTTATATTTACATGGGAATTTCACATCTATCCATAAAGAATACCAGTGTACTATCAAGTATTTGCTTGAATTGTGAGTTTGAAATTCATTCTTGAGAAAATCTGTTGCCTTTCTCCATATTCAAGAGCTCGTTATTTCCCCACACAACAATTCTGAAATCTGTTTTAATAAAATGTGTGATTATAATAAATGATTTAGTACATTTCTATTTTCTTCAGGTTGTATGTCAATCTCAATGAGATGAATTGACACAGTGGTTCAAGTTGAGGGTGGTGCAAGACCCAATAGAGTTTTGATCTTTTGTACATAGGTTCACTGTGAGTTGGAACAGCTAAGACAAAAACAGCATAATCTTACTCCAACAACCCAACTGTGTCATATCCAAAGAAACATTGATTTCTTACCCATTTTCCTTATTTAATGACCTCTGGTAGCATAGTGGATCCAAATTGGGCTGCTAACCTCAGGGTCAGCAGTTCGAAACTACCAGCTGTTCCACAGGAGAAAGATGAGGCTTTCTGCTCCCATGAAAATTTCCAGCCTCGGAAACTCTGTACAGGGTCACTATGAGTCAGAACTGACTCCACAGCACATAACAACTAATCCTTATTTATGCTTGGCTTAAAACATTAGAAATGACACAAAGTGAAACATGGTGGTAGAACTGCTTCACTGTGTTCCTTAGTGTAAGTGATACCACACACCCAGAGTTTAGAGTAGTGGCAGAGGATTCAAGTTCCCAGGTAGGACATGAAGAATCAAAACCCCATGATTTCATATTTAGCATTCCTTGCTTGTTTGGCTTTTGTGTGTTTGAAATCATTTAAAGATAAATATGTTCCTCAGGTTGATCCCAGACCTAAGCCTTTAATATTATGTCTCATGAATATGTAAATAACCTGAACTTTACTTTGTTATATAATGGTATATCTGTGTTCAAAGAGTCACAACTACACCACTCTCCATTAGAAGTTCTGGAAAAAAAAGTTCTCTAACAATGGACTGGACTTGGAGAATCCTCTTGCTGGTTGCAGTAGCTATAGGTAAAATGGTTCCCAATTCCAAGGATGGGGAAATGGTTTTGGATACTCAAGGTGAATTTCATCCACCCCAATCTACTCTTCAGCAGGCAGCCACTCCCAGGTCCAGCTGGTGCAATCTGGAGCTGATCTGAAGAAGCCTGGGTCATCAGTGAAGGTCTCCTGCAAGGCTTCTGCATACACCTTCACTAGCTACTATATGCACTGGGTGCGGCAGATCCCTGGAAATGGGTTTGAGTGGATGGGGTTGATTTATCCAGGCAATGGTAATACAAACTATGCACAGAAGTTCCAGGGCAGAGTCACCATGACCAGGGAAACATCCACAAACACAGCCTACATGGATCTAAGCAGTCTGAGATCTGAGGACATAGCCATGTATTATTGTATGAGAGACACAGTGTGATAACCACATCCTGAGTGTGTCAGAAACCCTGAATGAGAAGCCAGCTGCATTGACTTTAGAGATGACAGTTTAGATTAGACTTCAGGATGTCTTTCTTTATTGTTGTTTCTGTTCCATGCCATAGAGTCACTTACAACACATCAACATTGTACACAACTCAACAAAACATAGCCTGGGTCTAAATCATCCTCACAATTGCTGTTACATTTGAGACTATTGTTGCTTCCACTGTGTAAGTGTATCTTGGTGTGAGTTGACCCTCCACATTACCAAGCATGATCTCTTTCTCCAGGGATTCATCCCTCTTGATAACATGTCTGAAGTATGAAAGACAAAGTTTTGCCATCTGTTTCTTAGGAGCACTCTAGATGTAATTCTTTCAAGACAGATTTGTTTGTTCTTCTGGAAGTCCATAATCTTTTACGCCATTATAATTCAAGTGAATCAATTAATCTTTGGGCCTCCTTATTTATTGTCCAACTTTAACATGCATATGTGGCTATTTAAAATATCATGACTTGGTTCATGTGCACATTAGTCCTCAGACTGATATATTTGCTCTTGAACACTTTAAAGAAGTCTGTACATCAGATTTATCCAATGAAATAAATTGTTTGATTTCTTGATTGTTGTTTCCATGAGTGCTGATTGTGGAGCCAAGCAAAAAGAAACCTTTAATGACTTCAATGTTTTCTCCATTTATCATGATGTGTTGGTTACTATTAGTGTGGCACTATAGGATAAACACTGGACAGCAAGGTCCATTTGAATTGCAATTTCAATGGCTCAAACTCACTAGCTGCCCATCAGAAACCCTATACATGGTTGCTATGAGTTGGAATCAACTCAACAACACTTGTTATTCTGTGCCATCAAGTCAGTCGCAACTCATAGTGAAACACTGAATGAAACAAAAGAATGAAACAGTGCCCCTTTCTGGGCCAACCTCACAATGGTTGTTTCCAAGTAGAAATCTGGCTGCACTACTTCCAACAGAGATCTGTTCGTTATTTTGGCAGTCAATGAGTACTTTCAATATTCTCCTCTGACACCATTAAAAAAGTACATCCATTCTTCTACCATCTTCCTTATTCACTGTCCAACTTTCAACCGTCTGTGTGGTTATTGAAAATACCATGCTTTGGGTCAGGAGCACTTTGGTTCTCAAACTGACTTCTTTGCTCTTCAACACTTTAAAGAGGTCTTGTGCAGTAGATTTGTCCCATTCAATGTGCCATTTGATTTCTTTACTGCTGCTTCTGTAAGTGTTGGTTGATTTGAGAAAAATGAAGTCTTTGACTACTTCACTGATTTCTCCATTTATATGGATGTTGTTTATTGGTCCAATGGGAGGGATTCTGTTTTCTTCACATTGATACGGAACCCATACTAGTCTGTGGTCTTTGACATTATTCAGTAAGCATCATATGTCCTCTTCACTTTCAGCAAGCAAGTTTATATCATTAGCATATTGCAGGTTACTAATGAGTCTTCTTCCAATCCTGATGTTATGTTTTTCTTTATATAATCCAGCTTCTTGCGTTATTTGCTTAGCATACAGAATGAATAAATATGATGAAAGATTATAACCCTGGAGCACAACTTTCTTAATTGTAAGTCATTTGGTGTTTCTGTGTTCTGATCAAACAACTGTCTCTTGGTCGATGTACAGGTTCCTCATGAGCACAAACAAGTGTTCTGGAATACCCATTCTTCACAATGTTTTTCATAGACTGTCATGATCCACAAAAATCAAAAGAGTTTGTATAGTCTATAAAGCACAGGCAAACATGTTTCTGGTATTCTCTGCTTTCAGCCAAGATCCATCTGATGTCATGAGCGATAACCCTCATTCCATATCCTGTTCTTAATCTGGCTTGAATCTCTGGAATTTCTCTCTCAATGTATAGTTGCAGCTATTTCTGTATTGTATTTAGTAAAACTTTACTCACTTGGGGCATCAGTGATATTTCCCCATGACTTCCGCATTCCATTGGGTCACGGCTCTTTGGAATGAGCACAAACACGGATCTCTTCCAGACAGTTGGCCAGGTAGTTGTCTTCCAGATTTCTTGGCATAGATGAGCGAGTGCTTACAGTGCCACATAAATTTGCTGAAAGATTTCAGTTTGTATTCCATGTATACCTGGTGTCTTGTTCTTTTCCAATGACTTCAATGCACCTATAATCATTGACTCTTGATCATATGCTGTCTCTTGAAATGGCTGAACATCAGCCTTTCTTTTATTCGGTACAGTTGTTGTTGTTGTTATGTGCTGTGGAGTTGGTTCCGACTCATAGCGACCCTGTACAGGGTTTCCGTGGCTGTAAATATTTATGGGAGCATAAAGCCTCAACTTTCTCCCATGGAACAACTGGTAGTTTCGAACTTCTGACCTTGCGGTTCGTAGCCCGATTTGTAACCACTCCGCATTTCTTTGCAGATGTCATTATAATATCAGCTTTGTCTTCTTGCTCTGTCGGTTGAAATTTTCTGTTCAGTTCTTTTACCTCTTCACTTCTTCCATTTGCTTTGGCATCTGTATGATGGAGAACTAGTTTTAGACTTTTTTCTGACATACATTTTGGTCTTTTTCTTCCTTCATATAAATATATATATATATATATTTTTTTTTAAGAAGTTTTTATTGTGAATTATGTGGGTTTACATGGGAGAACATCAGTTTTACATTCATCCCATTGTATTTCATTTCATTGCAATGATCCGAATCCCCTTCATGCTTCATCAAATAACCAAACGATACACCCCACAGGCCCATTTCCCTAAAGTCAGCACATAGCCCCTCTCTCTCCCTGAGTCCAGTGTCCCCAGCCAATCCATCTATCCATGTCATCATTTCTGTCTCCATTCCTGGCATCACTGCCTCTCTGGGTAGGGTCACGCTTTCCGCTCTTCTCACTTGATGGTCCCAGGGACCTCCACTTTTGGGCTGCAAAACCAATCACTCCCCTCCTTTTGTCAAAAAACATCTACCTCTATATTTCCAACCCTTACTGTCAGTTCTGATGACAATTATTCACTACTGTACCATAAGAGTCTTATCCCCATTTCTTTTCACCAGCCTGGTCCCAACAGATTGGAAATCATTCAGTGGAGGTTCTACCTATCCCTGTCCTGTCTGGAACTAGGCTCCCTCTTGAAAGCTTGTAAATCAGTCACTTCTTGCCTTTATAGCCCCCACCCTCATTTTGGATAGCCAATGTCTAAGTTGCCCATCGCTGTCAAACCTTTGTACCGAGGGGGTGTGAGTGATCCTTGCTGTAAAGACTTGTTCCCTTTTTTTGAGCTGTTACATCCATACATATAGGTAAAGTTCATCAAATTATAGTGGGTTACTCTCCCCTTCTACCTTCTTTCTTCTAGTCGCGTTCTGATCATCCAGCCATTGAAGCCAGGTCAAGAGGGTGCTATCTGAAAATATGGGTGTTCTTGTGCATCTCCCCTCACTGCATATTAGCTGGATGCTTCACTCTCTGATCTAGTCCTCTGTGACCATGTCACTGCCTCTGGGCCCAGGAGTCCCCGGGTCATGCTGTAACTGCTGGTTATCCAGGTCTCCTCCCAGGTTCACTGGAGTATATTGAATGTGGTTGGACTTAGATCCCAACTTCTTTGCTGTTTTTTCCCTCTTCCCCTTGTCGGTGACCAACGTGGTCAACAGCCAGACCACATGCCTGCTCATGTATTCCCATTAAGTCTTAGTTTTTGAAAGGAGTTTTCTCTAAGAGGACCTGACCACATGCCTTGATCGCTCCCCGGTGAACAGCTTACTTGTTCTTTTAATAATCAATCATACTACCATTATTGTTTCTCATTAATCCTTCTGGTCTTTCTTCACGAAGTATCTTCTTTTCTTCTATCCACTCCAGGCTGGTCTACTTGTCCATTCCAGTGAAAATTTCCCACTTCAGACAATTCTTGACGGGATTCTGGTTTCCACCTATGGTCTTATGCAATCCACTAGTTTCACAGGATGTCTCTTTCACTGGGCAATTTCTAGCCCCCTTTAAGGTATTCCAATCAGTTATAGGCTGAAGATGGACTTACAAGCTTTCTATTGTGATGTTCTGGCTATTCCTTCCCCTACCCCCCTCAAATGTCTATTTCACAATGGTTGGCAAGGGAAACCAAGATTCAAAAGACAGTCAACATTATTCCCCCCTTTTACCCTTTCAAACCATACCTCAATCCCTGTATCCTAGAGCCTGTTGTTCCAAAGTTCTGCATACATTTACCTCTGTCCCACTTAGCCCATGCAAGCCTGCCTGCCTGTTCTCCCATCCGCCTTGCTCTTCCATTCCCCTCCTCTTTCTTGTGTATTGCCCGCCCACCCCTGCCCAGCACCCAAGGTATCCTGTGACTATTCCCTACCCTGTGCTCTATCTTCCCCTCTCTACCTTTTCTCCTTTAATCCCATACATCCCGATGATCAACAATTAGAGAGCCCCGCCCCCCCCCCCTTTTTGGGCGGGTTATTTTTCTTAGTTTTTTACAGTAATGGTCTTATTTAGTATTTCTTCTGTTGTGACTGACTAATTTCACTCAGCATAGTGTTATCCATGTTATGTGGTGGCTTGCAGCTTCTCAAGGTTCATCCATGTTATGCGGTGGTTTGCAACTTCCTTGTTGTTCTTTAAGGCAGCATAATATTCCATTTTATGTATGTACCACAGTTTATTTATCCATTCTTCAAATGGTGGGCATTTAGGGTGTTTCCATCTTTTTGCTATTGTAAATAGTGTTGCTATGAACATTGGTGTGCATATATCTTCTCGTCTTGTGGCTCGTTTTTCTTGTGGGTAAATACCTAGTAGAGGAATTGCTGGATCATAAGGAATTTCTATTTCCAACCTTCAGAGGAAGGTTGATTTCCAGAGATGTTGGATCATTTTGCAGTCCCCCCCCCAACAATGTAGGAGGGTCCCGGTTTATCTGCATCCTTGCCAGCATTTATTGTCCTCTACTTTTTTATCTTTGCTGTTATTGCTGATGTGAGATGGTACCTGATTGTTGTTTTGATTTAAATCTCTCTAGTGGCTAGTGATCATGAACATTTCTTCATATCCTTGTTGGCTGCCTGGATCTCTTCCTTGATGAAGTATCTGTTCATGTCCTGTGCCCATTTTTTAATTGGGCTGTTTGTCTTTTTCTTGTGGAGGTGTTGTAGTTTCCTACATATTTTAGAAATGAGTCCATTATCTGATGTGTCATTGCAAAAGATTCTTTCCCATTCTGTGGGTTCCCTTTTTACTCTTTTGGTGAAGTCTTTTGGTGCACATAAGTTTTTAACTTTTAGTATGTTCCACTCATTTATTTTACCTCCTTTTGTTTGTGTAATTTTCAAAATGTTTGGTAGTCTGTGTATTCCCTGAATAATAGCCCTCACATTTGTCTTTATTTTTTCATTGATGACCTTCATAATTTGGAATTCACATTTAGGTCTTTAATCCATGTTGAGTTCATTTATGTACATGGTATGAGGTAAAGGTCTTGTTTCAATATTTTGCATATTGCTTTCCAGTTCTGCCAGAACCATCTGTTAAAGAGACTATCTCTTCCCCATGCAATATATCTAGGTACTTTGTCAAAAATCAGTTGGCTGTATGTGGATGGGTTAATTTCTGGATTCTCAATTCTGTTCCATTGATCAATGTATCTTTCATTGTACCAGTAC